CAGTGTACTAATCTTTTTCTTTTTCTACGACAAACAAAAAGTTTTTATGTGATCGTAGTTAGACTGGATCGTTACAGAAATGAAACTGAATAGTGCTTGTTTATAAAACTCGTGAGAGTGATTTTTTAAATCTCTCACACAACTAAACTCACCGTACGCAATCGCACAATAAAAAGATAACCGTTTAATACAAATGTCCAAATTCGTTCAAAAATTATAATCAATATTCAAGTCATAATAGAAAGGTATCATTAAAACGTCAGATAACACGGAAAATAACAGAACAGAAGAAGCGGTAGATCCTTTCTCAATAACGTTTTTAACAGATGAATGACTTAGTTACTTTTTGTTTCGTGCTTTCTATTCTCTCATTGAACATCTTTATCGGGTATATTTTTCTGTTTTTGTTATTCTGTTTAACAAACTGTTCATAAATTATTCGTTTTTGTTTGGTATGTATTATTTTTTGTGCTATATAGTAGAATACAACACAGATAATCGAATATTTGACACTTTGTTCAAGAACGTATTGCTGCAAAAGTATCTGCTGAAAAAGTTATCTTCATGTGTCCTCATAAAAGTATTTTTATCATTAATGATGATAAAAATAAAGAGTCTTTCTAAAAAAGTTTCTGAAAGGTATTTCTCTAATTAAATTCTACTTAAATAAACTGCTTAATCACAGCATTTTAAAAATATATTGGAAGCGGTCAATTTTTGTAAAATTGATAATATTTCTTAATTAAGAGACTTTTCTTACAGCATAATGCAGACATTTTGAAATTTGATCTCTACTAACATTTTAATATATTTTATTTAGTATTGAAGTATGTGACAAGTTGAATACATGTTGACATCACGAGAAAGTTAAATAATAACCTAGTTGGATGCATTATTTCAGCTTGAGAAGTTTGAGAAATTTGGTACACATCTGTCGCAATACCGCAAACATTTTCACCTCTTAGAATTTTTATATATCCGGCTTACAGGTATTCAATTAATTTGACCATGAAAAGTAACTCTCCTCTCTAATTCATTCGTACATTTGTCCTATTTGAACATCTTATTTCACCCCATTGAACGCCTGAAAACATGTTAAAAGAATACTGATAAGGTACTGAACAGTTATAGTATTATATACATACCCCAACTGTTTTTACAAATCCAGTACAAATCACCAAAATCAGTTTTTCCATATCCAACCAACTGTAACTGGAAAAAGAGCGAAATCATATTATGGCTATAGAAAATGTTTTCACTTATCTTACAGCATGATTTATGATGGACTTATTGCAAGATGTACCGCGGAATACACCTGAAATACAATTTATTGTTCGTGTATTATGGATAAAAACTGTAGACAAATCTTACCACCATTATACAGTTCGAACGACTGGTCGTCTGCGTCAATACCAACGTACAAAGATGATTCTTGAATCATTGTTAGCATAGTACCCTCACTATGATCGTTCAATTTCTTGACAGTTATAAACTAGAACGTAATAGCATACTTATTTTATACACTGTCCTTCAAGCCATCTACTAATTACTTACCGTTGCAAATGGCTTGCATGCATTACTCTCGCATTTTCCTTTTGGTTCCGGATAATCGGAGACACTGCATATTCCACCTAATTTTTTGATGCATTCAAATACATCTTGTGACTGAGGACAACAGTCGGCTACTCGAGCAATACTTCCCTCGACCAATTGTTTTGTTTCGGCTGCATGTAAACTCTCGATCAATTCTATGCATATGATTTATTTGATAAAAATAATTCATAAGCATACAATATCAAAGAACTGACCGACAGCTACTATGCTTGAACCTAAGAAATTTCTTCCTTCTTGTTTCACATTAGTAATAATACCGTTTTTTCTCCAATCAAGTGTATCGGGTATCGACATAACGCTCGTTTTACTAAATTCCTAAGAATTAATTCCACTATCAGTGATGCAACTACGAGGAAAAGGCCTTGGATGATGGGTTAATGGGATCTGAGTCTTAGTGCAACAAAAAAAACATGTTTTCAGGGATAAATGTAAAGCTGCATTATTAAGAATCAATTTTTTTCTTAAATAAAGCCTCACATGAAAGCAAAACAATAGTTGCGAGCGACATGATATGCTTGTTATTTCGACCTTTAGTTACGTATTAGCTGTCAAAATGAGTCGGCTTTCTCTGAATCACGATCAACTGCTGAACGGAATTAGAACAATTCAACTCTGACAAAGTCCTGAGACCAGATTCCGAGCTTTCTGTATGTCTCAACATGTCCGTTCTCTGATAACAAAACTATCATCGAAAGATCAGGCTTTTCTCAGAAAAATCCGGAAGTGTTTTTTTGATTTTTATATTAGTCACTAAAAACATTTTCAAGCTTTGTGCATTCAATTTAAACCCTCTACATAATAGAAAAACACCATGGTCTTCCGTTTTGGCGAGCAACTAAGTAAATTTTTGACCAAAAATTCCGGAGGAGTCTCCGGAAAAAATCGTCAACAGTGGTCTTCTAATACGGGATGAATTTCTATTATTGGGGGAGGGTTTATGTATCTGCTAGTAAATACTGGGACCACAGAGGACCAAATCGCAAACACAATGTACACGGTCGTTGTAGCACTTTGACTGATGAATTGCTAATATTTTAGTTTAATGTTAAGTGCATGTAAGTAATTGCTAACAACTTTGTTTTCTAGTTCATTATTCATCAGTTGATTCTGGTTAGTTGATTTCTGAAATACTTGGAATCGCTTAAAAGTACTTTAGTACTACGTAGGGAATCATTTTTGGGGAAAAATGTCTTACATTAACTTCCTGCAGTACCCACATATTTCATCCGAGGGACATCACTTAAAGTCATCATTTTTTTGTTCATATCCACTTCAGAATACATCTAGATATACAAATTCAAAGCTCCTGATTATGTATATTACATCTGTGAATTATGAAAACGATTTATTCAGCGAAAAAAATAATTGTTGATAGACGATGTAAAAGTGTGTGCTACGGGCTAAAATATTCTGAAAGTATAACAGGCTTAGACAAAGGGATATGGACCGAATAACGTTTATTGAAGCGACGAAATAATGAAGCAAAATCCATCCCGGATGGAAATGATCTTCTTTTAATATTCGATGATAGTCGCCTGGAAATACATATTAAAATCGACCTTTAGAACGATGAAGCACGTCCTAATGCGGATTTCATCGCAGCAATATACGTAATCTGATACAGATATAAAATGTTAATTTACCCTGTTAAGTGCTGTTTCTTGGATGAAGGGTGTAGGCTCTAAACATGTGATGTACATACGTTTCGATAGGTAACTCAGCGTCCTAAACACTATGAAGAAGATCAACGGATGCAAATACCCATCCATTTAGGTGTTGGTGGTAGTATTCCATTCTGGCTATCTCAAGTTGAGGTTCAAGTGGGTGTTTGTGTAGGACTACCTGACGCACTCGATCGATCTAGGATGGTCTGAAGCAATTAGGGGTGTTGGTAGATGATGACGTTTTTTACAAATATCCCTCTTTTTTTCTGGCAGGCCTACCTACATCCAAAGATTTTTTATAGATCTTTAGAAGATGATATAGAAACCCAAAGCTCTCTGTTGCACCATTGTTCGTTATTATAATGAATAATGCCTAACAGCACATATATCAGCTTCTCTCAGAGAAGCTGATATATGTGCTGTTAGGTAGTATCTACAATAATATTAATATCGTCAACATTATGACCATTTACCTTGTTAAAAGTCATTTGTTTTCTTAAAATTTCTTCATCGATTAATGAATACTGTTTTGTATCGTTAAATTTCTGCCATGATTTTCCAACATTTGCAGCATTCACACATGATAATAGGTTTAACAGTAGAGCCTATTCACAGAAAATACTAGTTATAAGAGTTTAGTGTCTTCGACAAAGGTTTATAGTTTTAAATAGTGCGGTTAATCAATACTCGCCAAATTTTTGAAGAAAACAAGTCACTCTCGCGGTTGACTCTAATTCCAGAAATTACAAATTAATGGAACTGTATGTAGTTCTTCTACCACTGAACAAAGCGCAGCCATCTATTTCTTCTCGAATCGAGGCATACATTTAGTTTCTTCTTACCAGTAAGAGCAGCATGTTCGCTTTGATTTTAGTTTTTTGGAAATCTACTAGTTAGTGATTGTAGTAAAAGTTGCTTGCCGTTTTAGATTATATTTTGTCACCTTATTCTTGTCGTTGTTGCAACAATAGAAATGACTTTGTGCACAGAAAAAGCGAAAGAAGAAAAATAGAAGCGTGTTTAGATAAGAGACCTTAGAAGAATCAGAATAAAGTCATGAGTCATTGTTCTTCTTGCTGTTGCTTTTTCACACAAAAAGATAACAGATCATTTGAGTTGTAAGAAAGACTTATGGTACCTTTTGCCGGATATCAAATTGTAAACCACATGCAGAACGTTATTGTTGACGGCTCAAAAGAATATATTTCCATATATGAGTAAAAATTTAGATTGTTAGTTCATTGAGCGAGAAATTAATTTGCTCATGATTGACAGAGAAACAAAAGACACTTCCCATTAATCATATTGTTCTTACCAAGTTGGAAAAGGATTGATTTTGATAGTCAAAAAAAACTAGATAGCCGCACAGTTTATGACGAAACTGAAAAATAAGTTACTCCGAGTCACCTGTTTACTATTCATCGTTGAAAAAAATAGAGAACAGATCCAAAAACTTAAAATGGGTAATGGCGACATGTTGAACATCACTTTTCACAACTGCAGCAGTCGCGATAAGTGGATGTCGGATTCAAGTGAAAATGCATAGGTCAGAATTAACAGCCAGAACTGTTCATGAAATATCTAGGAAGTATTAGTAATCATTTGCTGAAGGAGTGAATGTGCGATCGGAATCAAAACTCGAATATATGTAAAAAGATTTCTCCGATTGTTTGATAAGTCGAACTTAAAAAGACAACGTCACATTTTTTCAAATCCCTGTCGCAAATATTTTTCTTGAAAAAAGCGATTAATCAGCTGAACTTGCGCATCATTTAAACTTACAGCACTTTTTATTTTTATTTTAAACACACATATTCTGGTAGAGTGGAAGCTGCTAATCCCGAATATCATCTTATTTGTTTATTTTGATCGACTTTTCAGGTATAAAACGTAAACTACTGAGAGGTGCTGAAAAATCGCAAAAATCCTAACTTTTGAGAAAATAGCGATTATCTCCACACCGTGTAACTTTCCGATCACACCGATGCAATTTTCGGATTCCTCGTCACAAACTAGATCTAGCCATGTGGTCTAGAACTTGTTTGATCATATTGTACCGGCTATGGAAATTCAAAAATCGGTGGTGCTTCGTTCGTAGGTCCTTTATTTTGCAACTCTATCTACTCTCCGTTTCAAAATGGTTGGCACTCGGTTGCTTTTTGAATAACTTTTGATAGGAATGAGATAGAGACCTGCGATTTTCGCTGTTCAATAGCCAAGACTTGAGCAGAACTTTTCACAAGCGG